GCCGAACCTGGAGGGGAAGGGAACGAATTCGGGATGTATTGTGGAGTGGCACTGGTACTGCCATTGTTTTCACTCGCGCAGCAACCCGGGCGTGGCCACAAGCTCAGTGGAGAGAGCAGTCCTTGGGGAATTGAAGAAAAAGAAAGAGCACAACCGTGAAACGAGTCAAACAACAGCTTTCAGTTATTTACTTCCCGTCTCCCACGGGGAGTTCCCGTCAGAAACGCCTAAGACAGTTCGTAAAAAAAAAAAAGAAAAGAAAAAAAAGGACATATGGCGTTGATTCAGCACTCTGGAAATGTGCAAAATGATACTGGACCGTGCACGAGAACACGAACAGATACATTGGCATATATCACTAGAACATGAACAGGTACATTGGCATATATCTGTCTTTGGTGCAAGTGGAGTGTCTGACTTTCCTTCGCTGGTGGGACTTCAATGCTCCCCGTTTGTCACGGGGAGGCAGATCAGATGCAACCAAGATTTTTTTTTTTTTTTTTTTTTGGTTGTAAGGAGGGAAAAACAAAACGCAAAAAATGTCAATCCACATTACTCATACTATAGAATGCATATTGCCCCAATCAAGTCTCGATACGGTTGCAAAAACCATCGCATGAAAACGTCCTGAAAACGGTCGTTTGCTTTTCTCTTCACATCTTTCCACGTGCTGCATAAGCCAGGGCATTTTTCTCGGCATCTATCGTTCCATGAATAGGGGACCATACATTTGAATCCAGAAGTCACGGGAGCACTGTTTCCTGGTGATGATGAGGGCTGCATGTTACGAAAGGACACAGTGCTCTCGTGAGTTCTCCTTTCGAATGTATGGTCCCCCATTCAAGGACCAATACATCTCGAGAAAATGTCTGTGATCTGGAATGTTCGTGTTTTTTTTGTTTTTGTTTTTGAGCCTGTATTATAGTTGCAGCTGGAGCGTCCCTGCATGTGGATGGAAACATGCACGGCGAAAACAATAGTACACCGATTTCTCGTCCTTGGGCCCAGCAGCTTCTTCACCAATTCTAGTGCCGAGCCTTTCCCGAACCTTTTGGCTGGGCCAGGTCCGGAAGTTGCGGCGCGTTAACGGCCGCGACTTTTTTTTTGGCTGGGCCACCAGTACCTACCGGTTGTTAAGGGCTGCCGAGCCTGGAGGGGGCGGGGACCCACTTGGGATACATTATGGACTGGCACTGGTACCGCCCGTCGTTTTCACTCGTGCAGCACCCCACGCGTGGCCACAACTGCAGTCCTCGTAAAAGCAAAAGAAAAGAAAGAGAACTTCTGTAGAAAACGAAACGACAGTTTCCAGTTGACTCTCCCCGTCTCTTACGGGGAGTCACGTCAGAAACGGCGAAGATAGTTCTTCCTAAAATTAAAAAAAAACTAAGAAAAGGAAAAGTGTGGGCGTTGCTTCACCACTCTACAACAAATATGGCAATGTATCTTTCCGCGTTGTAGTGGAGGATTCAGTCTCATTTTGCAAGCGAGGGAAACTAAAGGGACAAGCAAATGTGCACAATGAGACTGAATCCTCCTCTAGAACATGGAAAGATACATCACCATGGCCTTCAGTCTTTTGTGCATGTGGAG